TCTGAGAGATGCCACTGGAAGATTTTAAGGAATGAAGTGATAGGATCATATAGGTGTTCACCTAGCACAGTACCTGGCACTTATAGATCACTGATTACTGAATGTTAGGCTTTGTAAATTTTTTTAATTAACAACATATCAGGAGAGAGTTTTTCCCCATATGATGTCCATCCAAACAAAAGGGCCAGTGTGCAATGAGAATTGCTTCTTGGTTTTACATTACATTTTTGCATTAAAACAACCAAGTGAGTCACATTTTGATATCCAACTTGGCTAATATTCTTTACCATGACTTAAAGAAAATCAGGAACAACTAATAAATAAGTTAACACATTGCAGGAACTATTAAGGAAATTCATCATTAAGGCTGAAATGTCATCAAATTCAGAGTAGCAGGAATGTTACTAATAATAATAACATGCCAGCTAATGCCAGGGACAGTGTGTCTTCCTTTAGATAATGTTCTTTACTAGAATTGTCTAAATGGAGAGGATTTTTACTCAGAGAAAAGCTCAAAAATAAGCCAAAAACTTATGTTAGTCTATACATGTCAAATTTTAATTTGAGGACTTTTTTTTTTAATACCCAGACTTATAAAAGTTTTCTCCAAATTAAATAGACCATTGCTATGTAATTGTTGTATATTTACTTCACTCTAGAGTTTTTTTTTTTATTTTTTTTTTTTTTTTTCAACGATTTTTATTTTTGGGACAGAGAGAGACAGAGCATGAACGGGGGAGGGGCAGAGGGAGACCTGGGGAAACAGGCTCCGGGCTCTGAGCCATCAGCCCAGGAGAGCTGGCGTGGGGCTCAAACTCACGGACCGCAAGATCGTGACCTGGCTGAAGTCAGACGCTTAACCGACTGCGCCACCCAGGCGCCCCCACTCTAGAGTTTTAAGAGTGAGTCACAGTCTCACCACTCACTCCACTATAAAGACACAGTACAGGTTTTCTTTTGAACTCATGTTTATCAACCACATGCCATATCCTATAAAAAGGTCAAGGATACCACACAATCATAGCAAATCAGCTAAAAACTCAAGTAGTAATATGAGATGATCATCACATTCTTAAGAAAAACATCTGAACTTCTGACTCACATATCATAATGACTTTAGGAAAGATTGAGTTTTAAGGCTTTACGTTTTTTTTTTTTTTTCCTATATAATGTGAATCTTATATGGGTAGAGGGTTGGTGAATA